GGGAATTCTTCTACCTGAAAGAAAAGGATGCTAATTAGTGAGGCAGGTTTGAGTAGGAAAGTTTAGGGCTCATGTAGGTTGCCTGGAGATGGGCCAGACCACTCTCACCTTGCTGGGAACTGCCCACGCTGCTCCTCTCTCATTCATTATTGGGTGGGAACCTCCTGGGCCTGCCCTTCCATGGGATAGTGTAGGTTTTAAAGGCACCTGAAAAGGAAAAGCACGCTCTCTTGGCCAGCGACCCCACCTGTGCCCACCGTGTCCCCTCCTTCTTCCCTTTCCTCACCTGGCAGGATGGGTGACTCCCCTTCTCTCTGGGTGACTCCCCTTCTCTCAATAAAGCTATCCTACCTCACCCCAACCACATGCTCTGCTTGGATTTTTCCATTTGGAGCACAAAACCAGAATCTTCTGATGACAGACTGCACCAGCACTATTAACATTAGTAACACGAAAACATACAAAAGCATAAAATTCAATACCATAATGCTGTTGTGTAATTATATTTTAATGTTAAGGTTAAATGACAAAACTTTTAAAAATAATACCTATAATAATTTCTTAGGGGATAGACTACATAAAAAGATATACATTCTGGGATAAAAAACAAAATGTGAAAGAGTGAATTAAAACTACAGAGTTTCTTTATGCAATCAAAGGTAAGTTATTATTATCTTAAAATAATACTGTTGCAATTATGAGATGTTTTATGTAAAGCTCATGGTAACCACAAAGCTATACACAAAAGATAAAAACAAAGAATCAAGGCATATGACTAGAGAAAACAACCTAATTACAAAGCCAGAAAGAGAAGGAAGGAACAAGGAATCTACAAAACAACCAGAAAATAAGCAAAATGACCGTACCAAGTCCTTACCTACCAATAATTACTTTGAACATAGAGGATTAAATTCTTCAATCAAAAGACATAAATAAGACCCAACTAACTATAGGTACGTACAAGAGACTATTTCACAAATAAGGACACCCTCAGAATGCAAGAGCAGAAAAAGACATTCCATGCATATGGAAAACAAAAGAGAGTAGGGGGTCATCGCACTTATGGCAGGTAAAATATATTTTATGTCAAAAACTGTAAAGAGAGAAAAAAAGTTATACAATGATAAAGGGTCAAACTAGGAAAAGATATAAGTTGTAAATATATATATATTCCAAACATCAGAGCACCTAAATGCATAAAACAAATCTTAAATGAATGGGAGAGACAGAATGTAATACAATGATAGTAATGGACTTCAATACTCCACTTTTGACAATGGATGGGTCATTAAGAAAAAAAATCAATGAGGAAATATTGGATTTAAACTACATTTTGACCAAATGGGCCAAACAGATATATACAGCACATTCCTTGCACTAGCAGCAGAATGCACATTCTTTTCAAAGCACACGGGACATTCTCCAGAATAAATGACGTGTCTAAACCTCAAAATAAGTCTTAATTTAAGAAGGTTAAAATTATATCAAGTATCTTTTCTGGTACCAATGCTATGAAATCAAAAATAGAAATGATTTCAGAAAATTCACAAACACATGGAAATTAACAATATGTTCCTGCACAGCCAATGGGCAAAAGAAGAAATAAAGTCTCCCATCAAAGAAATGGTCATGACCTAATGGTTTCATACTGAATTCTACCAAATATTTAAAGAAAAATTAATACCAATACTTCCGAAACTCTTCAAAAAATAAAGAGGGGATTTTCTAAATGGATTTTATGAGGTAAGCATCATCCTGATACCTAAGCCAGAAAAGAAAATTACAGCCCAAAATACCTGACGGACATAAATGAAAACAAGCCTCAAAAAAATACTAACAAATTGCTTTCAGTCACACATTAAAAGGATCATTTACCACAATCAGTAGGGACATATCCTAGGGATTCAAAGATTATTAAATGTTCATAAAGCTATAAATATGATATACCACATTAACAGAATGAAGGGCAAAAATCATGGTCATCTCAATAGATGCAGAAAAAGCACCTGACAAAATGTGATATCCTTTCAGGATAAAATCTCAACAAATTAGCTGTAGAATGAATATACCTCACCGTAGTAAACAGCAATACATGACAAACTCATACCTAATATACTCAATGGTGAAAGTTGAAAGCTTTTCCTCTAAGATCAGGAACAAGACAAGGATGCCCACTCTTGCTACTTCCATTCAACATTGTACTAGAAGTCCTATGCAGAGCAATCTGGCAAGTGAAAGAACTAAAGAGCATCCAAACTGCAAAGGAAGAAGTTAATCTGCCCTAATACACAGATCTTATACATATATAGAGTACTCAAGACTCTATCAAAAACTGTTTGAATAAACAAATTCAGTAGGATTGCAGGACACAAATGCAACACAGAAAAATCAGTAGTCTTTCTAAACAGTAGCAACAATCTGAAAAAGAAATGAAGATAACAATCCCATTTATGATAGCAACAAAACTAAAATACTCTAGAATAAATTTAACCATACAGGTTATCTGTACATTATACACTAAAAACAATAAAACATAGATGAAAGAAATTGAAGAACATACAACAATAAATGGAAAATATCCTGTGTTCATGAATAGGAAGATTATCATTTATGCTCACAATGCCCAAAGCAATCTATAGATTTAACATAATTCCTACCAAAATACCAATGATATTTTTTACAGGAATAGAGAAAATAATTCTAAAATTCACAAGAAACCACAAAAGACCCCAAAGAGCCAATGTGTTCTTCAGCAAAAAGAACAAAGATGGAGTCATCACATTAATTGATATCAAAATAGTCAACATAGCATAAAACGTCACAGTATTAGCATAGAAACAGACAGATGAATGAAACATGATTGAGAACTGAGCAGTAAACCCACCCATTTACAGTCAGTTGGATTTTGACAAAGTTGCCAAGAACATATAATGAGGAAAGGACAGTCTCTTCAGTAAGTGGTGCTGGGAAAACTAGATATCCACATGCAGAAGAATGATATTATACCCCTATCTCTTGCCAGTTACTAAAACCAACTCAAAATGGATTAGAGACTTAACCAAAACTGAAACTGTAAAACTGCTTATAAGACTACATAGGGAAAGTTTTGGTCACTGGTTAGAGCAATGATATTTTTAATAGGACAACCCAAATGCAGAGGAAACCAAGGCAAAAATAAGACAAGAGAATTAAATCAAGCTAAAAAGTTTTTGCATAACAAAATAAACAATCAGTGGAATGAAGCAACAACCTAAGGAATGGGAGAAAATATTTGCAAATCATGTGATAAGGAGTTAAAATCCGAAATAAATAATGAACTAAAGCTCAAGGGCAAAACCACAGCAATCTCATTTGGAAATAAGTAAAGGACCTTCCTTTCTCAAAAGAAGATATAAAAATGTTCAGCAGGTTTACAAGAAAATGAGTCAACATCATTAAGCAACAGGGAAATGCAAATTAAAACCACAATGAGCTATCACCTCACACCTTGACAGAATGCATATTATCAAAAACACAAAAACCGTGTGAGGATGTGGAGAAAAGGGAACTCTTGCACACTGTTGGTGGGAATATATACTAGTATAGCCATTAAAGAAAACAGTATGGAGAGTCCTCATATGTAACGTACACACAACAATGCTGAAAGAATACATTTTGATTATTCTCACCAGAAGAAGTGAAACTATGTGAGGCAAAGCATACAGTAACTAGTTTCACTGATTCAGTTATTCCACAATGTATACATATTTCATGATAAATATGTATAATTTTACTTCTCAATTAAAAAAATTTAAAGTGAGGGACATTGCAAGAAGGAAAAAGACAACAAAACTTTCTGTGGACAATGTCCTTACCTAGTCTTATTTATCTATATATAAGCAAATTTTACAAGAGAACAATACTGCATTAATGAAAAAACAATGAAAGTATGTGTGATTTTTATTTATTAAGTGTTTTATCACTCAGATAAGAAATATAAATGTAGAGACATGGTCTTAATATGAACACTAAACCAAATAAGATTTCAGGCCACAAAAGATGTCCTAGATATCTTTCAAATATCTCACGTGCTTCCCAGATTTCTCAGAACCAGATTTAGGTCAATGATTTTTTGACAAAAAATTATAAGAGTCATAGCTTCACAAGTATACAGTTGAAAGTCACTGAAAATATTTCTGAATGTCAATATTGGAGAACTAATAAAATTCAGGTTACAAAAGCTTTAATGTCAAAAAGTTATTCATATGATAAATTGGAGTACATTTAAATAACTGGAAACAACTCAGGATTAAAAAGAATGAAATAATATGGGTGAGTCTCAAAAAATGAGTCTGAGTGAAAGATGCTTTATGTAAAAGTTATACTGTCTGATTCCATTTACATCACATTCTAGAACACTTCCTTTAATTTCTAGAATAGGGAAAACTTCTCTATAGAAACAAAATCTTAAGAATATTTATCTTTAAAGGTAGGACAGAGAAGGAGATTGGAAAGAGATATGAGGGAATTTTCTAGGGTACTGGGAACGTTCTGTATGTTAAAGTGGTTATACAGATGTGTACATTTGTTAAAACTCACCAATAACCTACTTATAATTTGTGCAAAATTGTACATAAATTTTACCTAAACCATGAACATTAAGTAAATGTTGATAACTCTATTAATACATCATGCTAAAGTATTGGGGTAAGATATAGAAATACCTGCAATTTATTTTGAAATGTATAAAATTTAGACAGACATACTTTAGCAAAACAATATAGCAAAACATTAACAATTAAAAAAATCCACAAGGCAAGTATATTGTGGTTAACTTTCCTGCATGTCTGAAAATTTCCATAATAAAATATTAGGAAAAAAGATGACAATCAGAATTTCAAAAAACTTTTAAAAATATTCAAATATTAAAAAGCATTCCTTTTACATAATAACATTTATGACTATCATTATTATAGCAAGAATTAAAGGAACACATATTTTAAAAATTTTGAAAGACATACCCGAATTTCTTGAAGGTTGTGAAAATTATTTCCTACTCTGACTGAGATTTTGCTTGGAGTGTAGCTTTCATCAGATTTATAGTCTGCATAAATACATAGTGTCTTCACTGTTGTTTTTCTTCTAAAAGCAATGAAGTAAAAAGATGCACATTATCATATTGAAAGATTATTGCATCTTCTCTTCCAATGTTAAAAAAATCACAGGGAAAATATTTGAATCCATAATTTCTAAGACCTTCAATTTCAACAGTAATGAAAATGAAAAACATGACAAATACAGGTACAGACATAACATTGCACACACATGTATACATATATGTAAATATATACATATATATACACATACATGTATATGTTGCATATATATACAACACATACGTACAACATGGTCAAGAACTAAATGTAAGCAAAGAAGAAATACAACTAAAGTAAATTAGATACCTTCACATGCAAACAAGCATTAATGATTTCCATCCTCTTTATACATACATTAGATAAGGAAAGTGTTTCAATAAGCTTGGTTTCCTTTACTAGTTACCTTATTCTCTATATTAATACTTAAAAATAATTAGCTAATTGAGAAATTGGGTCCAGCAAAGAAAGAAACACAAGATAGAAAATATAACCTATTTAAAACATAAAATGTTGCCCTCATTTTAAAAATATATATACCCTAGGGAATAAGCAAGAGATATATCACAGAAAATTAGCCTCAGGAAAAAAATGCAAGAGGCTAAAAGAAAACAAAAGGATACTAAATTTCTAATAATCAAAAAAGATATATTAAAACATGTTTTATTACCATGTTGAAAAATATTAGAATAAACAACACCCACATTTGATTAGAAAAAGGTGCTTTCAGACCCAGTTCATAGGTATACAACTTTGACCCACTAATGCAACCTCTAAGTATACCTAAGAAAAACAGTAACACAATTATTCAAAAGTGGCTACAGAAAAATATTGTCCTGTGATATTACTAAAAAAATAAGAAGTAACAAATACTCATTGCAATAAGAAATTAGTTGCCTTTCCATTCAAAAAACACTACACAAATAGTTTACAAACTATCCCTGACTTAAGATTTGACTTACTATTTTTTGACTTAACATTGGTGCGAAAGCCATATACATTCAGTAGAAACTACACTTTGATTTTGAATTGTAGTATTTTTCTGGGCTAGTGATATACAGTACAATAGTCTCTCACAATGCCAGGCAGCAACAGGAAGTCATAGCTTTCAATCAGTCATGCAACCAGGAGAGGAATCAACCACACTCTGCAGTGCACTGTGTTGCTAAGCTGCGATATTTAGTAGTTTAGTTATATTAAATGCATTTTCACTTATAACAGTTTCAATTTGCAATGGTCTTATCCTGACATAACCCCAACATTAAGTCAAGGAGCATCTGTATTTAAAATAATCATGTGGGTATGCAGTTGTAATAGAAAAACAGATTATAAAGCGGAAGGATCTTGTTCTTTAAAGGCATATAAACTTGAATTTGAGAAAAAGACCTGCATGGAGTCAGACAAAAGTAGTTGAACAGACTACTATGGAGGGTGGAACTAAGGGAGAGCTTTATTTCTTCCTTTATGATTTCTATATCTTATGAGTAATTTTTCAGGACAAGCATGGATCATTTGGCCATCAAAAAAAAAAAAGGTGATTTTAAGAACCTGAAAAATCACTTAGAAGTCCACTGAAATTCGCTTTAAAAAGTTAAGTTCTAGTGTAAACTGGCACAGACTTGGTAACAATGAGTTTGTCAATAGAAGCAGTCTGTGTCAAAAGTCAGCTTACAAAAATGGCAGAAGTCTGTAGCTCTTCTTGAGGGACCAAATTTGCTAGCCTAAGCTATCCATCATAAGGAAGGTAAGGTTAAGAAGATGCAAAATACTAAAAACCCTACAACTGCAGACAAGACAAATACCACTGCGAGCTCTCAAAAGAGGCCAGAGGCACCAAGCTGACTTCTCTCTCTGCAGGGCCAGCAAGGAGACAAGAGGGGAAGCAAAAGAGTAAGGGGAAATTTTGAAGGGCAGACTAAAACCCTTCTCCTTGATGAGCCATAAGCAGGAAGCCAACGGTCTTTCCTATTGTGGAGAGATCAAAGATCACAAAGATCTTTTTTTAAAGGACTTTAAAAAAAAAAAAAAGGCAGATCTAAAGAGTTAAGCTTTTTGCTCAGAACAGTTTTACTTTTAAGTTAGGAAGTAACTTAACTACTTAGTAAATTAATCACTAAGTTATTCAGGTAACTTAATCACTGAAACCTACCAGATAATCAGGAAAATTTGGAAAGGCAAAGACTAGTAATAACACTATTGATAATAAAAACAATAGTAGCAAATAGCAAGTGAGTACTTACTGTCTGGCCTAGAAGCCATGATACACTTATTGTCTCATTGATTCCTTGACCTTGAGATACTTTGCTAATTAAAAATAACACTGAAGTTAATAACTAGCTTAAGCCAAAAAGCTAGTAGATGGACATAGAGTTAGTGTGTTTATTTCCCTCATATGACCTGCCTTCCTTTTAATTAACTGGACTTTGCCTATTTAAGTGACGGATATCAGTTTACAGTGCTATGTAGCTGTTTGTAGTTATTTATGAATTTTACACAAACCATGGCTTTTTCTCTAAGGTTCATGCATCCCCAAAAATTATATAAATTAACTTATGCTATATACATATTAACATTATTAACATTAGATTTACAAAGGAAAGTGAGACCTCACCAAAAGTTTACAACTGCTATTCTAAAAGGTACAGTACAAAAATTTTAAAACTACCTATTTTATAGCACAACAAACCAAAAGAATATTTTATAGGAAATCATGATGTTTCTCAAATAGCAATACATGTAGAAGATTAAATATATAGATTATGAATCATAGTGACAACTACTCAAACTGCTCAAATCACCTCTCTAATAATGTTCACTAAATTGAATGCCTACTATATGCCAGGCACCTTGCTGAACTCAAGATAAGGTATTGCAGGAGGGGAGAAGGAAGAAGGTACCACTTTCCCTTTTTTGATGACCCAAGTAATACTCCTGACTTCCCTCTATTCCCTCAGCCACCACACCTTTCTCCTGAGAAAGAGTTGCTGGCAGGAAGCAAACATTTGCTTTGTTCTTCCATGCCACAAATTTAATAGAGGCAGACAAAACTGGTATAGCATTTTTATAACTGGATGAGTAAGTCTGTTTAATTTAGGGTTTGGTATTACAAAACACATTTGACTGAAGATAGAACACAGTCCTGATGCTTTTCAGCATCTGCTTCATCAGTTTTACACATTTTGTTTTCTACCTGCTGACTCTTGAATAATTTCTCATCTGGTTTGGAACCCATTAAATTCCAAGAGAAGACATCAGTGACAGGGATTCCTGTCATCGCCCCAAGATCCCTTTTCCCCTTCTTTCTATACAGCATTCAGCTAAAAGATCCAACTTTCCTTAAAGCTAGGTATGACCATATGATTAAGTTATGACCAGTAAGATTTAAACAAAATGACCAGTAAGAGTTTAACAAACTTGTGTTATAATGCAGGTTTATTTAAAAGGGAGGTATGTCACTTTTATCTTTCCCATCTTCTCCCTTCTGCTGCCAGGAAAAATGTACATAATGGGGGAAAGTCCAGTAGGCATCCTAGATCATGAGGTGATGTTGAAGACAAAATCCAGGAACTAAGGATGAAGGAATAGGAAGAGAAGGAATGTTAGTCCACACTGTGGGACTGCCATATCTTTCCTGGACTTCCAGGTCTCTCTTCCATGAAGAGGGAGAAGAAATAAGTGTCTACCTTGTTGAAAACAGAGTTTTTAAACACTGTGTACTAGAACTTCTCAATCCTATTGAATACGGCATTACAGATGAGAAAACTGGGACTCATGTCAGGTAAAGCAAATAGTCCTTATTTAAAAAGTAATGGGTATAAAATTCTATTTATCACCCTTAACATGCTATATACACTACAATGAGGAGACGGAGACATAAAAGAAACATATGGTTAACACATGTTTCTAAAACAAAAAACAAACAAATTATATTTATAAATGACTACATTCTTTGTTCCTGGTACAATGGCAAAAAATGTCTTGTGAGTTTGTTTCTAATCAATGTCAGTAGGATGCTAAAATAGAAGTTTTCACTGAAGACCAAGAAAATAAAGACCTGTTGTAATTAAGATAGACTTCGATGCAAATTTTTCAGTAAATACAGTTTTAAAAACACAAAACAAATTAAAAAGTCTAGATGCCTGCTCCTGAAGGAATACCTACTGCAAGACTTGCCTCCTTGCCATAAATAACTATAATATGGGAGAGCACATATGAAACAACTGTCTGCCGACAGAGCAACAAGGTGGCACAGGACTGTGGGTCCTGACAAAAAAGAAGCAAATAGAGTGAGCCCTACAAACTGCATACTCTGCTTACAGGCAATGTCTGAAGTGCCACACAAGGCAGAAGCCTACAGAATCTAGCCATCTCCCCAAGAAGATGAAGAATGAGAAATTTAGAAAAAACTCCAGAAATCTGCATGGAATCCCTTAGAGTCATCCCCTTAATACCAATGTGCCACATGGGTTAGCTAGAACTCCACAAAGTCAAAGAATAACTGCTAGGAGAAGGCTGGGCACCAACAGAGTTCCATACAACCAAAGTGGAGAGTTCTTTCAAAGATCTAGAATGCTCATTTAAGATCCTAGACAGGTCAAATCTTTGTAACAATGCTCATTTCTGACAAGAGAAATGGTATTGGAGAGTGATCTGGAGACTCATATGCAAAAGATCCCTTCAGATCAGCAAAGCCAATGATTTTCTTAATAAGATGTTATCTGCTCTTTTCAGGATCATTCTTTTATGAGTACACAGTAGAGTTTTCCAAAAGCTGACACAGAATGCTATAAAAGATTTAATGAAGAAACAGAAATGAGACTCCAGCTGCTCTAAGTCAGGCAACAAAGAGGTTCACAAAAAATGTAAAACACAATACTCTTTTCACGGTTTGGGGAGACAGTTATTTTACATAAAACTTATGTAAACATAATTATTGTTCATTTTTAGTGAAAAATAAATACTTTATAATTCCTCATTTGTAATTTCTGATATGAAAAGTAATGTTAAGTATAAAAATAAAAGATCTTTGGAGTCCTCAATAAAAATTTACAGTGGTATCAAGACCAAGAATTTTAAGAACTGCTGCCCTAGAACAGGACTGGCAAGCTACAGCTTACAGAACAAATCTGGGCTGCCACCTATTTTTAATGAAGTTTTATTGAAATGAAGTGACACATTTACATATTGTCTATGGTTGCTTTTGTACTAATATGACAAAGTTGAGTGGTTGCAATAGGATATATAAGTAACTCATGTAACTCGACAACAAAAACACAAATAATCTAAAAATAGGCAAAGAACTTTAAATAGCTGTTTCTTCAAAGAAGTATAAATGGCCAATAAGTATAAAAAAGATACTTAATGTCAATGATCTTACAGAAATTTAAATCAAAACTATAATAGCATACTACTTCTCATCCCTTAGAATGGCCATTATCAAAAACACAGAAAGCGAGTTTTGGCAAGGATATGGAAGAACTGAAGCTTATTGCCAGTGGGAAAGGGAAATGGGGCACCCATGATGGAAAACAGTATGGCAGTGGATGAAAACACTGACAGTATCTCCCCACACAATATTTATCACCAGAAAAGATAACTCCTTCAGTGCAGAAGCCTAGCAAACACGACAGTAGTCATGTGATAAAAGTAAACTTCACCCACTAATGAGACAAAAATCAAATTTACAAATCACAACCGACAGAATGCAGTGCAAAGGATTTTCCCAAAGACGTACAACCTAAAATTACTCATGAATATTGAAGAAATATTCTTTAAATATTGGAAGGACATTCCTTAAGACAACTTGCCTATAATCTTTAAAAGTGCCACAGTCACAAAAGAGGAAAGAATGAAGTTGTCGGCTATGGTGGTGCACACTTACAAGGCCAAGGCAGGAGAACAGTGAGTTCAAGGTTAGCCTGGGCTATATAGCAAGACTATGTCTCAGAAAGAGAGAGAGAAAGACAGACAGACAGAGACACAGAGGCTAAAGAAAAGGGATTACTAAATTCAGCAGTGATTTAACTTTTTCAGTACTGGTATAACCTGAATGAAGCATAAGAAGTAGATGGCTAATAATATATCAATGTTAATTTCCTAATTATATACTTTTGGTTACATAGGAGAATATCTTTACAGGAATGACATAGTAAAGTACTCCAGAGATATGAACCATCATATTGGTAACTCACTCTGAAGTGAGTTAGGAAAAAAAAGTTGCACTGTATGTGCAACTTTTCTGCATGAGATTGTTTCAGAATTCTTAATGAGTTTTCCTATTTCTAAAACACTTCTTTTAAAGTGTCTTCCTCGAAGTCCTGGGCTTTCTTTTCTTGTGAGGGCAAGGGCTGATTAGGTGAGGAGCACTTTGAGTTCCTGACTGTTTTATAAGACCAGCTACACCCTTGTTGAGAAGCAGCAAGTAATTATACTCCCAACCTTTGAAATCAAACTTGCTGGGATCAAATCCAGGCTCCATAATGCATTGTGTAGGCCTGAGGAAATTATTTAATCAATCTAAGTTTCATTTTCTTCATGTACAAAATGAGAAAAATGACAGAACCTACATCTTAGAAGGTTGTTTTTGGGGTCACAAAAAATTATATATAACACTGTTAAATATTAAATTTTAAATCTCCATAAGACAATACAACACCTGACAATAAAGGCTCACTAAATCTGAACTATTTTGTTATTTGTTCAGTATATTGGCCTTCTGCACAGAATTTTATTTGCAAAAAAAATACTATTAAATTAGGACAGTCATCGTTCAACTTTTCAGCTATGGCCTTTCTCTTCGAGGAACAGCAGCAGTACGTTGGTTAAAAGTACAGGCTCTAAAATCAGAGCATCTGGGTTCAAACTGTAATTTTGACGCTTACGTGCTGTGTGGCTACCTAAATTACTTAATTTACCTATGTCTCTGCTTCTGAGACCAAAAAAAGATAATAAGTATAAAGGTTAAATGAGATGAATGGGTAAGTCATTTGGCAAAGCAGTGTTTTAAGCCTTAAAAAATTATATTCTACTGTTACTGCTGTCTATACATTTAATATCCTAGGAATTGTACTCTGTGGGCTAAGTCCTGCCCACCACCAGCTTAGATAAAATTTAATTACAAGGGCTAACTTCAGTCATTTTGGCATTGTACATGGTCAATTCAGTGCTGTACTGACAGAACTATATGGCTACAAAAGAGAACAGGTGGCCTACAAGGTGTTTTATTTTTTAGTTTTAAAGAAGATCTATTTGGCTCACATTTTTGAGTTATCATACACTAATAAATACAAAGGAAGTCACTGTGATAATTCCATACATGCATACAGCATATCTTGAACAAGTTCACTCCCTGCATTATACTTCCATTCCCTCTCTCCCCTTCCCCCTGTCTTTTTCAGTGTTTGGTGGGTTTCATTATGCTGTCTTCAGTATATGCAGTCTACTTCCATCTTCTTCCCCCTCCCCTCACCCACTGATCTCCCCCCATTCAAGTACCTCATAAACATTCATGTCCCATTATTATCATCATTTTAGATCTAGGTTACACAAATGAGCAAAACATGATTATTTGGCTTTTTGAGTTTAGCTTCTCTCTCTCAGCATAATGACTTCTAGTTCCATCCATTTTCCTGAAAATGACATAATTTCATTTTTCTTTATGGCTGAATAATATTCCACACTATATGTCATATTTTCTTTATTTATCTCTTGTTGGGCATCTTGACTGATTCCAGAGTTTGGCCATTGTGAAGAGAGCTGCAATAAACATGGGTGTGCAGGTGTCTCTCTTGTATATTGATTTACTCTCCTTGGGAAATATGTCCAAGAGTGGTATGGCAGGGTTATAAGGCAGGTCTGGTTTTAGTTTTCTGAGGACTCTCCATGTTGATTTATAAAGTAGCTGCACTAGTTTACATTCCTACTAACCGTGTAGAAGGGCACCTTTTCCCTGCATTTTCACCACAGTTTGCTGCTGTATGTTGTCTTGATGACTGCCACCTGACTGGGGTGAGATGGAATCTCAGTGTAGTTCTGATTTACATTTCCTTTATGGCTCGGGAGGTTGAGCATTGCTTCATACCTTTATTAGTCCTTTCTATTTCTTCTTCTGAGAACTGTCTATGCAATTCATTTGCTCATTTATTAACTGGATTATTTGTTCTTCTGCTGTTTAGTTTTTTGAGCTCGTTCATTCTGGACATTAATCCCTTATCTGTTGACTAGCTGGAGAAGATTTTCTTCCATTCTGTGGATCATTTTTTGATTTTAGTAACTGGTTCCTTTTTTTTTGGTGGCACTGCAGTTTGAACTCAGGGCCTCACACTTGCTAGGCAGGCATTCTACCACTTGAGACACTCCACCAGCCCACCTCCCCCCATTTTTTTTTATGTGCAGACTTTTTAATTTAATGCAGTCCCATTTGTCGATTCTTGCTGTTACTTCCTGGGCAATTGGAATCCTATTCAGAAATTAACTACCTATGCCAATATCCTCTAGAGCAAGGTTTAAAAATATTTACTATCTGGTTGTTTCAAAAAAAAAAAAGTTTGCTGATTTGTACCTGAGGACAATAAAAACAACTAAAAATACCATGCTATAGAATGTTAAAACAAATGATATAAATGGAGCAAGATAACCAAAGTGACTTGGTTAAATTCAAAATTCAAAGCAGTTGACAAACACAGGCTATTTTCCTACTTCCAAAAAAAAATAAGCATTTTCAAAACTTGAACTGTCCTCAGAGGTTCTAAGTTAAGAAAATTTTTCTTTAAATAGAAGTACAAGTTTGAGAAGTTACATCAATGTGCCACAGCTCCAAAACTTACCATCATCCCTCAGGTTACCTTAATGCAAAAACAGGAAGACAGTATATTGGGTCATGAGCAAAATTTATTTTTCTGAACGGTATCTTCTAAAATTAACACATATTGAAAAGTATATTTGAGAAGCATCTACGTAAGAGGAACTACACAAAGTACCATAAAAAATTCATAAAGGATAAGGCAGAATAAACTCAAGATGCTATAATCTTGTTGAGCAGAAAAAATAGCATTTAAGACTTATTAAAGTTTAAAAGGAAAGTTAAGTGTATTTCATCTTAATTTTTATATTTCTCAAAATTTTATTTAAGCAAAACAGATTTCCTTATCCATTTAACACCTACGCTGATTGAAACATTCAAGTGCATTACCTAAACTGGATATTCACTAAATGAGGCTGGGAACCGTCAGACTGCCAGTAAGTTTCTAGATTGTCATCTCGTAACTGATCCACTCCAAACCCTGAAACGCAAAAAGTAACAATAAATTCCCATGACAAAGAATCATATATTTAAAACATAAAATCATCCCATACATTTGTTCAGAAATTTTGATAAACAAGATGGTCAGAAATGTGAAAGTTAAAACCAAAATTATTCTACTCTTTCATCCAGATCTTAGTATTGATAAATATCATATATACATGTAAAAGCTTATGTTATGAAAAACTTTTTTGAGTTGTTGGTTCTTGAAAAACATCTACCAGGCTAGGCATAGTGGGTAAAGCCTGTAATCCTAGCTACTCTGGAGACAGAGATTAGGAGGATCATGATTCAAGACCAGACAAAAAGTTAGCAAGACCCTATTCTCAACCAATGGTTGAGCATGGTGGAGCAAATCTGTCTTCTCAGCTATGTGGGGGAATATAAATAGGACAGCCCAGGCAGAAAACAAGACCCTGTCTCAAAAATAGCCAAAGCAAAAAGGGCTGGTGGCATGGCTCAAGTGGTAGAGTTCCTGTCAACAAGTGTGAGGCCCCGATCAACCCCCAGTACCACCACCCAAAAAAATCTTCCAGGATATATACTCAAAACTCCATATGTGTTCAAATCCAGTTTTATTTCTTTGTTTTTTTGTTGGTGGTACTGGTGTTTGAGCTCAGGGCCTCAGGCTTGGTAGAATTGACTCTTGGTAGGACTGATTCTGAAGTAATTGTTATCTAGGTAAAGAGATGAAAGGGTAATATTAAAGGGCAGTCAACAAACAGAAAAACTTTTACTGGCATGAATCAAAAGATCAGTGGCATTTATGGGAAACAATGGTAAGTCCTTTGAGGGGCAAAGGATACACAATGGCTCTCTGGCTCACAATGAGCCAGAGAGTTGAAGAAGCCAGCTCATATACATTCTCACACACCACACTAATGAATACAGAGTACCATGAAACTAGGCCAACCTGCTCAACAATTTTTAGTAGGTAAATCACAGGAACAGGAAATTGTAAGATCAAGATCTTTAGATAGATTTTGCTTTTCTTTTTAGCTACAGGAAGAGAGAAAGCCATTGTGATAATATAAGTTGTAAGTAATGATGTTCTGAATTAGGGTAGTCTCATGGAAGTATTCAAAAGTACTTCACCAAAGAAAAGCGTCTTTAAATGTAGAAACTGGGGTCTTACTCTATAATCTGTAGAGTTACTTACTCTATAACTGCACTTATCCAATATGGTAGCAACTAGCTGTATGTGGCTCCTGGACATTTGAAATATGGTTAATACATATTGAGATGTGCTTTAAGTACAAAGTACAGATTGGCTTTTGAAGACAGTATGAAATGTAAAATACTTGATAGTAATAGTCTAGTTATATAGGATTAATAATAGATTATTATAATAATTTCACCTGTCTCAGCCCTTTTAAATGTGATTACTAAAAAAAAAAAAAAAAAAAAAAAGAGAGAGAAAAATTACAGATGAAATTTGCATTGTATTTCTACTGGCCAGTGCTGCCTCCTGTTCATGCTTTATGCAGTACTGCTAAGGCTAATCCAGAATTTTCAGTTACTAAGTTTTAAGATGAAAAACTGTTCTGCTCCCAATATAAAGAGTTCCATGTTTTAAGCCCCTCTTTCTTTTAACTAGTTTGTAAGTTCCTAAAAAGTATAGATAAATCACATGATTCTTCCTTAAAAGGTGTACAGGTAAATGTTCTATTGATTCAAAGTTTTTTCATTCATTTTCCTTTAGATACTTAGCTAGGGTTTTTTCCTCCAAACCACAATTTTACTTTTTGTATCAGCTCAAAGAATTTCATAAAATGCTATTTGTCCTTAAAGAGCTACCTAAACATTACACAAAATTTTGAATAACATTCAAATTAAGAGATATTCTATAACTCAACGCTGATTATTTTAAACTTGTTTCTAAGATATTACTTATGGAAGTATAAAAGGGCAACAAAGCAGATAACTTCAAGAACTGCTTAGTCAAACCTTTACCTCTGGGATTCTATATGATTAACAGCTTTTGCTTCTTCGATATTCTTATAAGCAGGTCTCTTCACATGCCAAGGTCATACCTCAACCTCTTTTCCAAGCTTCCCACTCAGTATTATAGCTGAATTGTTTAGTCTAAACAAAACACTCAGTGACAGAGCCATGATAACTACTTTGATGATCACAATAATGCACACAATTAAGAGTGTTATCCAGAAAATAAACTCTTGTCTTTTTTTAGTGCGAATGTGTTTTGAACTCAGGACTTTGTGCTTGCAAAGCAGGTGCTCTACTGCTTGAGCCACACATCCAGTCCATTTTGCTCTGGTTATTTTGGAGATGGGTCTCATGAACTATTTGCCTGGGCTGGCCTTAACATCCTCCTAATCTTAGCCCCCACAAGTAGCTAGGATTACAGGGATGTGCCACCAGTGCCCATCTAAGAAAAAACTTTTATATGATTATCATGACTCCCTCATGGTTCTTACACTGATATTATCTCTACTAAGCCACTACTATTATCTCTAAGGCAGGGTTTCACGCTTGGGACTACTGATATTTTGGAATCAATAACTGTTTGCTGTGGGATATCCTGGCCTACCCACTAGATGCAGTTTAAAACAAAAAAACCTCTCCCTCCTTTGCCTTGAAGTCATGACTGTTAAAGATATCTCCAAACATTGCTAAAGTTCCACCTGGGAGAAGGGAAGGGAATGGACCCAAAATCATGCACAAGTGAAAACTACTCTGAGGACAAGAAAACCAATATTCATCTGTGGTTATTATCATTGTTTAACAAATATTTGCTCTTCTTTCCCTAGCCTCCATGGGAGAATGATTTTGCACTCCAGTCATATCAGGGCAAATCCTGAAGTATGGTCAATACAGTGTGAGTACATGTGACATGAGCAGAGATTTTAAATGTGTTTATAAGGTCTAGCCTCCTGAATCTCTGTACTTCATTAAGAGAGCACACCTAGAGCAGACCTGAACCCAACTCACAGTCTAAAACTGAGCCATAGCTGAGCTAGAAATAAATTTCATTGTTATATGCCACTGAGAGACTAGGATTATTTGTTTTTTGGTGTAAATTCAACAAGGGCTGACTAATACAGCAGCAATACATGAAAAATATATTTGAGTGGTCCAGTTTATATTTCCTCTAGGAATAGAACAGCCATTTTCATCTCAGATGTCTCTATCAACACAATTACTTTCACTTTTGCTAGGGAGCTACCACAACTGAGCCATATGTCTTTGATTCTGAAGATACAAAACACATGGTCTTTGTAGACGAGTTCATCTACATCATATACTATGACTATTTACACTTAAACTCATAAAACTAAATATGGTTTCTCTTTGTACTTAAAATCCAAATTCTTTTTCATGGTCTATAAGATTTCATATTATCTGGCCATGTTTAATTATCTATCCAATCCAATCTGCCACTTCTCCTCCTCACTTACTACTTTCCAGCAACACTAGCCTTCTTCATAAACCTCCAACATGATAAACCAGTTAGTTTAGAGCATTTGAATCAGCTGTTCCCAATGTTAAGAAGGTTATTTTCTGAAGTCTTCACACAATGAATCTTCTTAACATTCATATCTCTGTAAATTCCACTTCTAAAAGAGGCCTTCCTTGATCCCACAATCTAAAGTAGTCTCACACTCAAGGTTATTTTCTATTATTTTACTGAGTTATTATTCTTCAAAGTATTGAATAGTACTATTCAATTCAGAAAGTCTTTTAACTCTATGATCATAACTGTCAACGTAGCATGAACCTAAATAAAAATTTAGTGAGTTTTTGTTTAAGAAAAACAGAACCTATACCATCCCATTATGCCTCTCAATTTTTACTCATAAAAGCAATTTCTTTATTAAAAAAATATAAATCAAATAGAGTACATGTTCACAAAATGTCACACTGAATCCTTTGTTTTGTTTCATAAATAGAGTTGAACATAGGAAATGTGTCTACCTTCCCCACAATTTTATTTTTCAACATGTTATAAATTTGGTGATAATGAAATGATTAAATTGTTGTAATAAGATGCTATTTTAACACTTGCAGGCTCCACAAAAACACGACTTTTAGTTTTTCCAGTCTCTTGGACAGAGACTGACAAATGTGCTGAATTGTGGGGCTGTTTTGTGATTTGTGTTCAACTAAGCTGAAGCTACTAAATAGATTCCAACTTTAATCCAAGTGAAAGATTGAACCAGTATTTTCAAAGATGTAATTTTGCAAAGCCATGTGCTACCTAACATCCTTTACCACGCAAGTAAACACTGTACTTCCCAAACATCGGTATCAACACTCTAAAAATGTGTTCATCCCCTACAGTACTTCTAACCAGAATTATTACCTCTCTCCTGACTTTAACCTATAATCTTGCTTCACTTCAGCCCATCTTCCACAATTCTCAAATGTGAACAAACTCGGATTACTTTACTCTGCTACTTAAACTTTTTCAAGGGCTCTTATTATTTATAAAATAAAACATGAATTATTTAAGAAAGCCCTCTATAATTAGGCCCAACTATCTTATTTTACCTTTGCTATTTCCCTACGTGCTGGCCTTACTGACTAGTTCTTGCAGTTCTTAGAATGAGCCATGTTTGTCAAAGCTGCACACCTTTCCATGTACTATTCCTACTCTTTTCCTACTCTTGCTCCATCATGCCAAATAAACATTATCTCCATGAAGACCTCTCTGACAAAGAGAAGACAAACTGTAAGATGGTAGATTTAAGTCTAATTACACAATACATACATTAAGCACAAGTGGTCTAAGTACTCTCAATTAAAGGATTAACAAAAACAAGAAAGACCCAACAATTTTTTTATCTATTTAAGAAACACAATAAAATATATAATAGGTTAAAAGTAAAAGGAAGAACTTGTAGTTTCCAGTCTGATGTATGGAGAGCTTGGAAGTTGTCATTCCTATTCTCACAAGAAGAAAAAAGGTTGAAAAAACTGAGGTCCAAGAGAGAACTGAGATCCCACAGCAAATAAACATACAGAAAACTGGAGAATCACAGGTTACCATGGAGAAAAAATGCCACTGGAGTAAGCAACTAGTAGGAAACTTGATAATTAATCAGAGGCAGTGTAGTCTAGCTCGAAAGACAAAAGCTCTTGGAAGCCCAGCCTTGGGAAGGGCTTTAAACTAGCTTGAGTTATATCTCCAGAGTTCTACCAGGGTTCTCTGAGCAAAGATGGGAGAAAACTCCCCAATTCTTTCTACAGAAGGGGGAAAATAGTTATTTTTGAAATATACCCAGAGCATTCTGCTCCCCTTAAAAAAGGCAGACTTTAAAGAAAACTATTTTACCAGAGACTAAAAGGAAATATACAACTCTAGCCTTCATGTCTACCCTAAAGGGGGAAAAGCTGAGCGAGACTTGTAATGGTCAAAGCCAGGAACATGGGTCCACTAAAGACTGAGATCTAGTTACAGGTCTCAATCCCACCAGTGTACCACAACGTCAGTAGACAACTACAGAGTATCAGCAGACTACAATAGAAGAACTGCAGGTGCAGGCTATATTTGAGAAGGAATTTCTATGGAAACCTGAAGACAAAAACTAAATTCAGAGGAATGTTAGCCTCACATACTTCAGTTACTGCAAATACATATAAAGGGAGTAAAGTATGTGTAATGGAATACCAGAAGGAAAAGAATGAAAGGAATGGGAAAAAATATTTGAAGTAAAAATGGCTGAAAATTTTCCAAAATTGATGACACCAACCACAGATGCAGGAAGCTCAAAGAATATCAGACATGATAAATACCAAAATACCTACACCTAGTCAAACCATATCAAACTGCAGACAAAGACAAAGAATAAATTTTTTAAAAGCCACAGAAAAACATCTTATCTGCAGAAATGATATGAATTACATCACACTTCTCTTGAGAAATCATACAAGCAATAAGGGAATGGAGTAAAATACGTGAAGTATTAGGAAAAAAAATCATACTCCGTGCAATTTTCCCTCAAAATGGAAAGAGAAAGACTTCTTCAGACAAATAAAACTTGAGGAAATCTATCACCAGTAGACCCATCTTGCAAGAAATATTAAAAGAAATTCTTCTAGCCAGGTGCCAATGGCTCACAACTGTAATCCTAGCTACTTGGGAGGCTGAGATAGGATCACAGTTCAAGACCAGCCTGGGCAAATAGTTCGTAGACCCATCTCCAAAATAACCAGAGCAAAATGGACTGGAGGTGTGGCTCAAGTGGTAGAAACATCAGAGTCCTGAGGAGAAAAAGAAGAGGCTCAGTTGAGAGGAGAGCTACAGAAGTTTTAATACATAAATAATAGGCATTTGTGAAAGAAAAATAGCTACCAAGCTAATAACATTATAATTTAAGCTCCTTAAGCTAAAGGAATTTCTCTGAACTTGAGCTTGCAGATTAAAAAAATCCCTATTAAATTACAGGTGAGATAGATGAGAAATAATACACACATATCCTATCCTACCATACCCTGGCCAAACTCTTGAACTCTAAGAATAAAGAGAAAACTCTTAGATAACTCCAAACATAACAAGTTATTTAGAAAGAAAAAGAAACAGGGCTGGCAGAGTGGCTCAAGGGGTAGAGCACCTGCCTAGGAAACATGAAGGCCTGAGTTCAAACCCCAGTACTGTCCAAAAAAAGAAAAAAAGAGAGACATAAGCACAGGCCTTCTTACCAATTTCATGGCAAAAGAGGATAATGTATTTGCACTGACATTGTTTTTGAGAGAAAAGAAGTGCTATCCAAGAATTCTATCCAAATCTAGAGTAAGAGAAAATGCTTTTGGGATATGTAATCACTCAAAAAAATCTAGAGAAACAGCAAATAAAACTGCCAACTAAATAACAACTGAATCATAGCAGAGATAGTCAAGGATAAAGAGAAGGCCTCATGACATAGTTAGATCTAAGAAGTAAAGCAGTTGTGCAGAAATATGCAATAAATGAACACCTAGTTCATTAGAAATCAAATTAAGCATTTAAACAAAAAGAACATTAGAGTTAGTCCAGTGTACAAGGAAACTGTAAGTAATTATTACTAACAGCTTCTTTGTTTTGTTTTGCTTTACCTGGTTTGCAAGACGAGAGTGACCAAACAGCTTGTGACCCAATTTCCCTTACTGTTCCAGTCCTTTCCAACTGCTTAGGATCAGCGCCAGGAGGTGTCTT